CCCCCCCCCCCCCCCCGCCCGGCCGGCCGGCCTTCTCCCCGGGCCCGCCCCGCCAGAGCCGCTGCGGGCCAGAGACTTCTTCATCCCGGCCTGGCTCTGGGAGCCGGGGGCAATAAAGTGCCCTCAGAGCGTGTTTATCCCCTTCGGGCTGATGTGGAGGAGCGGCGCGGCCAAACTGCTGCTCGACGGAATGCTTTTGGGAATTGGGGGGCGGGGGGGGGGCGGTAAAAGTCCAGCATCCTGTGTAAATAGTTCAGGGACAGCGCGTCGGGGAGGGGGGTCGGGCTCTGGCAGGGAGAGCAAAGGCAATAAGAGTCACCCCGGGGCTCCCACCCAGCCTGGTCTGGTGGCAACCCCTGGGGATGCTGTCTCCAGAGCGGGTTTCCACAAGAGCTGTACCCTGCTAGCAAAAAAACAAACCCAGAACAACTCTTGAGCCAGGACGAGGCGCCTCCAGAAAACACCGGTGATCCCCAGGGCTGGAGTGAAGGGAATTCCCACTCCGAAGGGACACTGTCGGGTTCAGAATTACTTTTTTAGCAGTTCTTTGAAGTGTTGCGTACAAGATCTCACTATTGCAACTGCGAATGACAAGAGTACGTCTATGCATATTTCCTTCAGCTAGGAGAAGGAGACTAGTCAGCTGCTAATTAACCTCGCTTGGAACCTCTCATGCAGCAGTGACGGAGGGTAGCAGAAACTGTGGGCATCTTAAGAGAAAAAACAACTATCCACTGTTGTGTCATGGAAGCTATTCTAGAAACACGACATATTTGCAAACCCTATATCTACAGCGGCACACATACCCTAGGTACAGATAAGATTTGACCTGATGTCTCCTCTTTAAAGTGTGGTCTGTGTTTTTATACGGACAAGTGAACGCTTTGGGCTCTTGAAGCCTTGCAGTTTCCCTCTTTATACTATTTATAAAGACTATTTTTTCATAAGGCTTTTAAATAAACGTAGCATGGAAGAGACACCGCGAATTTCGTCTTGCTATGATGGAAACAGTCTGGAGATGCTGTTTGTCCACGGCGGGGGATGCGATCTTTCTAACAAGGGAGAAGCTTTTCCTGTAGGTGAAATACTCCGTCTGTACTGCAGGGACTGGTCTCGAGCCCCTTCCTCCTAACGCACACTTCGTACCACAAACCCAGGCCGGGGCAGCCTCGGCCCTCTTGGTCACCATGTAGGAATCTGAATAAGAAAACACGACTTACCAACCTCCTAAGTGAGGTACCGACCTGCTTCAGAAATGGTTCCACCACTGGCTTTAATTTTTCTTTGTGTATTTATAAAAGCAGACTTGTTTTTCCTGTACAGTCGCTTGTATGTGTGAATTTTTAAATGATTCTGATACAGCATTGCTTGCCTTTTTTTTTTTTTTTTGCCTGCGAAAGAATGAATGTAAAATACAGTCAGCATTATGCATGCACAGATTAGTTCTTTTGCAAGGAAAAATTGGTGGAAATTATTTTAGGAGATTTCCATTTATTTTTACAGCACTTTAAAGTATCTGATATTTCTGCAGCTGGCTTACCTGGTTTTCCTGGAACTCCCCTGCAGCTTAGCATTAGTTAATGTGCAACAATTCTCTATCGAATGTAGTCATTAACTATAACGCAATGCCTCCCTGTGCTACAGCCTGCTTTTGACTCTCTCCAATGCTAATGAAGACCATCATCCTTTTTCAGAAGTCCACAAAGAAGATAGCGTGGTGCATGCAAACAGCTGTACTGGAAAAACGAACTGCAACAGAGAGCATTTTTTATCTCGTCTGCTCTGTCCTCCCCCTAGGTCTTTCTGCTTGGTTTTAAATTTATTTTTTTTTCTCCATGTGTAAAGCCTAGTCAAGATGTTTAATGGGATGGGACTTTAATGCATCTTTCCGTAGAGGACAGCACGGCCCCTTACACTGCAGAGTGCTGTTAACACACGTGGCAAAACCTTTTTCATTTTTAATAAAGGTGTTAGCATCAAAGTATTAAAGCCAGGGAAAACAGCAAAGAAAACCTGAGATGCATTAAAGAAAAGCCTCTTTGTGTAACTTCTTGCTTACTCAGTAACTGAAACTTAACTTCATGTGTTCTGGGTATCTGTAAGCGGAAGGTTTAAGTCTGTAATGCCGTTCTTCTCTCTGCAGTCTGGTTATTGTGTTTTCACAACAGCAAAATTACTGTTACTGCTGAGTTATAGAATAAATACAAGATATCTCACCACTGACCAGTCCATACTTTCCTTCACGAGTACGACAGTCTTGAATGGCGTATGGCACAGAGCACGAGTTTCTTTTGCCTCACAGTCCCACTGGTGCCACCGGCCTTGCTTTGAGCGGCAATGCTTAATGCGGGATTCTCGGCCCAAGTCCCCTTCCAGCGCCCTGCAGACAAACCCAGGCTGCTGCTTCTGACCCCGGCTGTTACTGCAAGGCAAAGGCATGGGTTTAGGGCCACTCATGCTATTTCACGCCGTCGGACTCTGTTGTAGCTGCCTGCTGGTCATTGGCAGTTCCCTTCGTTCAGCTCATTTGCAATTTCTGCGTTTATCTGGTTTTGCTTTTGGCCGGGGTTTTAATCTTGTGGCGTGGCCGCAGACAGTAGTTTGGAGAGCGCGAGCAGAGCCTCGGGTTGTGCGCCTGGGTCGCCGACATCCCGGTTTTGCACACCGTGCTCTGTCTGCAACTGAGCTGTGGTGATGCGAGGCTGTGGCAGTACCTCCGGGAGCCCAGCACGCCGAGAGCACCGGATCCCTGCCCACCTCTCCATACCACAGCCCAACGTGGCTTCTGTGGGGTTGTGCTCCCGAGTGACATCCCTCCGGCAGCAGGCCGTGGTCTCTTTGGGGGGCCAGCAGCACGCAGGATCGGGTGGTGAAGCTACAACTTGCCAAGAGATGCAGTGAGAGGAGGCGAAGGCTTACTTGTGCTGCTGAGATGGTGAGCATGGTGGCTCTGGAGCTGGCGTTGCTCTATGGCTTCTCCATCCCACACAGACTGGTCCGTGCCCAGCACTGGAAGCCTGCTTCACCTCCGATTCAAAACCCATCACCTCACTTCAGCTACCGCTGACCGCCTTTCCCAAGGAAAGAGGAGCTGCTCCAAAAGCCAGGGCCGGTTCCAGGAGATGGGGAGCGGGGTGTTTCGGGGGGACAAGGCAGGTGCCACCGGGGCTTTGCGCAGTGGGACAGGCAGGTCCGTACCGGAGACCTACCAGACAGGTCTCCGCACCAGAGACCTCTGCGCCAGCGGGGCGAGCATGTGGGGCCCGTACGGTCCCGCACCCACGGCAGGACCCGTGGGTGGGCCATGGGATAACATCTTAAAAAACAATAACCAAAATAGGTTAAAAAAAACCAAAACCAACAAAGCAAAGTGAAGCGCGATGTTGCGGCCAGATGGGTTCAGCAGCAACAGCCCGGTTGTGCCGCGGGGGTGAGCGCCGCCCCCGGGCCCCCGCGGAACCCCCCGAGAGCGGCGGCGGTGCCGCCCGCGCCCCCGGGAGCCGCTTTTCCCCCTGCGGCGGCCGTCGGGGCGGCCGTCCCCGCTGTTCCGGAGCCCGCTCGGGGAAGGTTGCCCGTGGGGCGGATCGTAACCGCGGAACAAAACAGAAAGTGAGTCAAAAAAAAAACCCACCCCGCTCCCCGGTTAATATTA